CCTACATTACAAACGCCTCGTGTTTCAGAATCCCACGCTGAGAACTTAATCTCCTGGCGAGCGTGGGCCCAGGGGAGAGGCTGTAGCTCAATGGTAGAGCATCTGCCTGACGTGTAGAAGGTCCCAAGTTCAGTCCCCAGCATCTCCAGTGAAAGGGATCGGGTAGTAGGTGATGTGAAAGACCTTTACCTGAGACCCTGGAGACCTGCTGCCCGTGTAAGTAGACAATGCTGACCTTGATGGATTAAAGGCAGGGCTATATTTGGGCAGGAACGCACAGGAACGGAGTTCCGATGGGCTCCCAAGTTGGCCACACCCAGCAGGGACTTATTATCATAACAGGCCACACCCAACAGCAGGAACTCATTAGGATTGGCTACATTAGGGGTGTGTGGCCTAACATGCAAAGGAGTTCCTGCTACAAAAAAAAAGGCCCTGGGTTTTGACAACAAACAAGGTAAACAGAATAACAAGCAAAAGGTGGGTGTGGTTGGATGGCCACACTTCTGGTAACACTGGGTGTGGCCTAATATGCTAATGAGTTGCGCTGTCATGGGTGTGGCCTAATATGCTAATGAGTTCCTGCTGGGCTTTTTCTACAAAAAGAGCCCTGATTAAAGGTCTTACTCAACTTCATGTGTTCAGTTTAGACCAGGACCATGGCATGAGAAGAGACATACGCCTTCCCTCCCATGCTGTATTCATCATCTGAAAACAACCACAGGGCGTTGCTGTTCACACCCCTGGAAAAACCTACACGCAGCTATCACAGCACGTGTAATTTCCCCCGTGAGGCAAGCAGCAGCTCTCCACAGCAGTGTTCCCTGTAAGCCGAGTTAGTGCGAGCTAGCTCACAGTTTTTCAGCCTCACGCCTTTTTGTCTTCGCTCAGGAAGGAGGGCTCCAGAGCAAACTGACTTAATCAGCAGCCAAATTGCTCGCTCACAACTTTAATGCCAGCGGCTCACAAAAGTAGAATTTTTGCTCACAAGACTCCGCAGCTTAGAGGGAGCATTGGTGGTGGACAGGGGAGGGGAGGGGGCCCTGGGAATTCCCTGTCCAAGGCCCCAACAAAACCCGCTTGGCTTGGAACCCAGGCTCCCTGTGAGCAAAAATTCTGCTTGGGGAGCGACTGGCATCAAAGTGGTGAGCGAGCGATTTGGCGACTGCCTCAATTAGCCTACTCTGGAGGCCGTCCCTCCTGAGCCGAGACAAAAATCTGTGCGCCGGAGGCTAAAGAAACCCCCGAGCTAGCTCACACTCACTCAGCTTAGAGGGAACTCTGCTTGGAACCCTGAAGATCCCCACCAGTGTCCCCTCTAAGCCGAGTGAGTGTGAGCTAACGCACAATTTTTTAGCCTCCAGCTCACACGCTTTTCTCCTCGCTCAGGAAGGAGGGCTCCAGAGCCAACTGATTGATGCAGCAGCCCAATCGCTCGCTCACCACTTTAATGCCAGTCGCTCACAAAGTGGAATTCTTGCTCACAAGAATCCACAGCTTAGAGGGAGCATTGCGTCCGCAGGTGTTTCAGAATTGCAGAAATGGTGTGTGGGTGTGCGGAGGGAAAGACTTAAGGCCCAACCCCCCCACCCCAGCATTGCCATCCTGACCTGAATTTCAGTGGGGGCGAGAAGAAAACAAAAACCACTTCCCCCGTTCTTCCTAATCATACCTACACAGCCACGGCCCAGCTGAGAATATGATTAAGGCTTCTAGCCAATCGCAGCTCCCCTAAGAACTGTGTTGCCAGCTCCAGGTTGGGAAATCCCTGGAGATTTATGGGTGCAGCCGGGGGAGTGCAGCGTTTGCAGAGGGGAGGGGCCTCAACCAGGGCCGGCCCCAGCTTATTTTGCACCCTAGGCGAGGATCCCTTCTGGCCCCCCCCCCCCCCCGGTGCGCCCACCAGTTTCCAAAAATAAATGCATTTTAGGAAGAATGAAAAACACAAATAATCAAGAAACTCCCAGAGTACGGGGCCGGGTTCAGTTTGGCGCCCCTAAGGGCTGTCCTGCTCTAGGCGACCGCCTAATTCGCCTAGTGAGTGAGCCGGCCCTGGCCTCAACCGTACGCAATGCCATAAAGTCTACCCACCAAACCTGCCATTTTCTCCAGGGGAAATGATCTGTGTAGTCTGGAGATCGGTTGTAAATCCAAGAGAGATCCAGGTCCCACCTGGAGGATGGCAACCCTACATTGTAGACAGTTATAGGACGCCTATATCTCAAACGACAGGGCACGCATGATCGGGCTATGTCACTCTGGCTGCATAGAACCGGTGCCCAATCGAAGAGTTGACATGTCCTGTGTCAAACGATCAGTCCATCCACCCCAGTGCCGACAACACCTGCTGCCAGCGGTGCTTGAAAACCTCAGGCAGAGGTTTTTCTCAGTATTAACCACATGAATGATTTTGGGGGGGGGGGGGAGGCTAGACATACCGCCAAGGACAGAGCCTGTGAAACAGCAACATGTCATCTAAAGGCCCAAAAAGAGCCTTGCTGGATCAGACCAAGGGTTCGTCTAGTCCAGCATCCAATTTCACACAGCAATGAACCGGTTTCACGGGAGGGCCAACAAACAGGGCATAGAGTCCGTGGCCGCCTCCTGATGTTGCCGCTTGGCGATGGCAATTCAGTGGGTTGCCAGCCTCCAGGTGGGTCCTGGAGATCTCCTGGAATTAGAACTGATCTCCAGACTACACAGATCAGCTTCCCTCGAGACAACGGACACTGTGGAAGGTGGACTCTATGTCATTATACCCCTTTGACATCCCTTTCCTCCCCAAAACCCACCCTCCCCAGACCCCACCTCCCCAAATTTCCAGGAATTTCCCAACCCAAAGCTGGTAACCATAGGTTTACTGCATCTGAATATGGAAATTCCTTTTGCTCACCGTGGCCAGTAGCCATTGATGGGCATGTCCTCCCTGAATCAGATTCCTTTTAAAACCCACCTTTAAATGAATCAAATGAATTACAGTGAATGCACATATATCTTGTGTGTCCTTCCTTGCATTTGATTGTAATAGGTAACGTCAGGGGTAATTTCCTGCGGGAGCGCACAGGAACAGAGCTCTGGCAGTAAGGAGCCGAGGGGCAGGCACATGCAACAAGCCCCGCCCCCTGCTCCCAGCAGCCCTCAGTCGGGCCAGGAGGAGCAAGAAGCAGCCAGGTATGTTGCAGAGCCCCCCCCCCCCGGCCCACCTTCAGGGAAAAGCCCCCCCCCCCAATAGCTAGCAAAGTCCCCTTCCCCCCCCCCCAATAGCTAGCAATCCAGAACCATCCAGTGGAGCCTGAGCGGTGGGTGTTGCCTTCTGACACACTTCTGGTGATGCCAGGGGGTGTGGCATATGAAAATAAGTTATGCTAATATGTTATGCTAATGAGCTCCTGCACCTCTTTTTCTACGAAATGACCCCTGTTTAATGTACATTCAGTTTACCATTAAAGCCAGGAACCATTCCCTGAATAAATGTTGGACTTAAAATTGCTCATTCCACTGTACATACATTGAGTGTAATGTAAGGCGTGATTTAGCACATGTGCAAAGAAAAAATCTAGGGTGCACTATACATGGATAATAGTAAAATGCCCAATAGCACCTTTAAGGCTAACAAACTTTATTGTAGCATAAGCTTTCGAGAAATACAGCTCTCTTCGTCAGATGCATGGTGGGTATGAAGAAACTGGTCAGAGATATATAGGTGGTAAGGGGAGGGGGAAGAGAATTTACATGGCACCGTCTGCATCCTCTCCCCCCTTCCCCTTACCACCTATATATCTCTGACCAGTTTCTTCATACCCTCCATGCATCTGAGGAGGCAAGCTATGTTTCTCGAAAGCTTGTGCTACAACAAGATTTGTTAGTCTTAAAGGTGCTACTGTTTTTTTTTTTTTACTATTTTGCAGCAACTGACTCCTCTGGATCTATGTACATGGATAGTACATGCGCGCCATGGATTGCACATGCATGCCATGGATTGTAAATTGTAACTTGTGCACAGGGCTTATGCTAGCGGCCACCACTCCCTCCACTACAAGTTAATTGAATGCTTTATTTACTCAAATTACTTAGAAGAGGTCCATTCTGCATCAATTGCCCATCTGTTTCAGTTGATGCACTCAAGTTCTAGTGTTTTGGGGAGAGGGTAAAAAAGTTCCTTTCCACTTCCCCTGCCCCATGCATAATTTTATAAATCTCTAACATGCCTCTTCAGTCTACTATTTTTCCCCTCTAAATGATCACTGAGACATATTTCTACACGGGGGCTATTATCACAGGGAGAGCTTTTGCTATGCAGATGTTTGCTGTGTGGTTCAGGCGGCCTCTAGTAATGGCTCTGCAGAGGCATGAAGGAAAACATTTGCTCTAAGTGGTTAGTCACTCTGCACTTTAATGCCATTTGGAACCTCGGTAGGGAAGCTATAAGGTATACATTCAAGGGGCCAAGAGAGAGCGAATAATTCACAAATTATGTTATCTGCCATGTAAAAAGGGGGAATCCACAGAATCAAGGGACCTTGCTAATCTTATCAAAAGCCATTTTGCATCCCTGGAAGTTAAAGAAAAAATGGCTTAAGTAAAAACCCCTAAGGCTGCGGTCACACACACTAAATAATCCACTTTCAATCCACTTTTCAACTGGATTTGACTGTGGCCCGTTCTGCATCTAGCATTTGCTGCATTGTTTTACCAAACCCACGCTGGAACAGAAATCCCCCTCTACGTTGCATGCCACTTTTACTTTGATTGGTTGTCGGATTTTATGGCAGTGTCCAAACTGCATGTCGCTTTCACTGCATTTGATCTCTCTGTTTTATGGTAGCCGTCTGCACAGATTTATGGCCGTTTTATGGCCATTCAGGGGTGACTGCAGTCAGTACAGCGTTGGCCTGGGGTATTTGAGTGTGGTTTTGAGCCGCATCTTTTTCTGTTCCAGCGTGGGTTTGGTGAAACAGTGGAGCGAATGCCAGATGCAGATTGGGCCTGTGTGAACTGGCAAAATCCAGTTGGAAAGTGCATTGAAAGTGGATTGAAAATGGATTCTTTAGTGTGTGTGATCGCGGCCTATGTTTACTTTAAAAATCCGCTTGAAGTGAAATTAGCTAGCAATCTAGAAACGTGCAAAAATAACCCAAATGTTCTTTATTTCTCTCACGATTTGGGGGACACTTGACCCAGGCAGGATTCCCCAAATTTACTCTGATAGTAATTGTAGCTAAGATGTGGGGACTAAGCTTTCATTTCTAGGGACAAGCTTTTTCTTTAATCTTATGTTGAACGGCTCCTCCAGTGTTTTCTCCACTTCTTCGTCGGTAAGGGTGGTTCGCTCAACCAGATCCATGTTGTCCTTGTAATCATATTTGGTTTCGGTGAGTGTCCAGCCAATCAGAACCTGAAAGCCACTGGTGGTCTGGAGACTACAGATAGACTTCTTAACAAACAAAGACTCGGGGACAGTCTGGAGAATCGTACTCTGCTCCAGGAACTCCTCGATTGTACGTGGCTTGAGAGTAAAAGAGTAAATCTTCTTGCAGGCCAAGTCTTCTGGGCCATCGAAGTAGAGAGATTTGTTTTCAGGATCAGAACTGTACACTTTGCGCTTTATTTTGTCAAAGTACCACACTCCGTTGTCTTCGGTGACGTGGAAGATCCCGGGCTTCTGAGGTTGGTCCTTCCCAGAAACCAGCTCCAGAGGTTCCCACAGCTGGAAGGCTATCCCAAAGCCCCCATCTGCAATGTAGACTTTACTATCGATGACCACTTTCAACAGGAGGTGATTCATGGCGGCGTCGTATCTGTCTTCCAGAGGGACGTAAACGTGACCTCCCAAAAGAGTGACGTCGTAGCCCATGGTCTGAAAGACCCACGATAAAAGGAGGTTGTTCTCCAGACACCACCCACCCCGGTGGCTCTGCACAATCTTCTCGTAGGCGGCTTCCAAGCCAAACCCGATGGTTTCCCCGCAGTGTATGTTGAGATTTTCAAACGGTACCGACCGGATGTGGCACTGCAAGACCGCCGTCAAGGTTTTCAGATCCAGGGGGCGCAGGGGCCCCTTGTAAGAAATCCTTGCAAAGTATTCCTTAAGCTTCATGCCGCTGTGTTGTGCCCCTGCTGCTGAAGGAGTAAAATGAACAGCTGGATTACAATGGTCCCTCAACTCATTTCATACTCTCGGTTCTGCTTCATAACAGTTTTAAGTGTTTCTCAGTGAAATCCTAAGCAGAGCTTAGCCTGTTTAACGTCGAGGGATTTGTGTATTTATCTGCTTCCATCCCATCTTTCTGCTCAAAACGAAGACCCGAAGGGGCTAACAGATATAAAACATCCTATTAAAAATGCAGGTATCAAATAATTACCCATGTATTGGCAAAACGGTACCAGGTTTCCACTTTCCAGGGGACAGGTCTGAGCAGATAGGAGTGCTTAGCAATGCTCCCTCTAAGCTGTGGAGCCTTGTGAGCAAAAATTTTACTTTGTGAGCCACTGGCATTAAAGTGGTGAGCGAGCAATCTGGCTGCTGCATAAATTAGTTTGCTCTGCAGTCATCCTTCCTGAGCTAAGACAAAAATGTGTGAGCCAGAGGCTAAAAAACTGTGAGCTAGCTCACACTAACTCAGCTTAGAGGGAAGACTGGTGCTTAGTCCCAGGTAACAAATCCCCCCCCCCTTTCTGGTGAGTTTTGAGTTCTCAATTCCAGTACATGCAGTTTGGGATTAGGATCGTGATAGTCCCCGAAGACACTATTTGGGGAAACTGTTTCCTCGACAGGCACAATAGAACCCCCCCTCCCCCAGGACTGTTTTATACTACCTTTTGCAGTTCCGCAGGGCCTGCAAGACGGAGCTCTTCCGCCAGGCATTTAAGTAGGGGCCGCTGCTACTGCAGGCTCCCACTGCAGGTCGTTACAACTGAACATGGCCCGTGGTTTTAACAACAAATGGTCTAAGAGCACAAAACATCGCGGACCATCTGGGCAGCGGCAATTTATTCCTGTAATGTACCATCCAGACTAATTTTAATCTGCCGCCAGCACTTTGTATTTATAATGTATTACTGTATGGTGAATATTGTGTATTTTAATGTATTTATGCTTTTATGGAAGCCGCCCTGAGCCCGCTTGCGGGGAGGGTGGGGTATAAGTTTGATAAATAAATAAATAAATAAATAAATAAAATGGCATAGGAGGGAAGGCTGAAAGGCCCCCTTTCCCCCTGAACCATGATCCTGACCCTAACTGGGCACCACACATGCAAGAAATTAAGGAGAACCCAGAACTCATGAGTGTGTTAGTGACCTTGGATGGAGAAGGCCCAGGACTCTGTTTAGGATTATACTGCCGGTCTCACACCCAAGGAAACAAATGTGGATTCTGGAAATGCCAATTTTATCTAGGGATGAGAAATTTCCCCCTAATTCTGTTGCATCTTAACTTGGAAAATGCCTACAGTGATACATGGGGTGGGTGGGGAATCAAGCCCAGCAGAACATTAACGGACAACAATTTCTTCCAGGGTATTGGATGGGAGACCACCAAGGAAGTCCATGGTTGCTATGCAGAGACAGAGGATGGCAAAACGCCTCTGTATGTGTTTTGCTCTGATTTGGACAGCTCAAGCTTAGCCTCGGAAGCTCAGCAGGGTCCACCCTGGTTAATACTTGGATGGGAGACCACCAAGGAAGTCCAAGGTTGCTACGCAGTGGCAGGCCATGGCAAACCACCATCATCAGATCTTAGAAGCTAAGCAGGGTCAGCCCTGGTTAGTACTCGGACAAGAGGCCACCAAGGAAGTCCAAGATCATGACGCACAGGCAGGCAATGGAAAACTACCACCACTCCTTAAAAATAGGGGTGGCTGGATTCTTCCACTAGATCAGATACAGGGGTGCCCAACCTTTTAGAGCCTGGGATGTTGAGAGAGTGTGGTGAGTACCAGGGCTATTTTTGGGCAGGAACGCACAGGAACGGAGTTTCCGGCTGGCTCCCGAGTTGGCCACGCCCAGCAGGAACTCATTAGCATAATAGGCCACACCCAACAGCAGGAACTCATTAGCATAATAGGCCACACCCAACAGCAGGAACTCATTAGCATAATAGGCCACACCCAACAGCAGAAACTTATTAGGATTGGCTACATTAGGGGTGTGTGGCCTAACATGCAAAGGAGTTCCTGCTACAAAAAAAGGCCCTGGGTTTTGACAACAAACAAGGTCAACAGAATAAGAAGCAAAAGGTGGGTGTGGCTGGATGACCACACTTCTGGTAACATGGGGGGGTGACCTAATGTGCTAACGAGCTGTGCTGTCGGGGGTGTGGCCTAATATGCTAATGAGTTCCTGCTGGGCTTTTTCTACAAAAAAAGCCCTGGTGCGTACCATCCCAAAATGAATGCCACAGGAGGGGAAGCCAAACCCAAAATGGCTGCCACGGGAGGTGGACTGAATGGGATACCTCAGACCTCCTGTGAAGAATGAAAGCCTGAAGGGAAAATGGAACCACATTTTGACTAAGGCCCATTCTGCATTTAGCATTTGCTCCGCTGTTATGCCAAACCCACACTGGAACAGAAATTCCCGTCTACATTGCATGCCACTTTCACTTTGATTGAGTGTCCCATTTTATGGCAGCGTCCAGACGGCATGCCGCTTTCACTTTCTTTGACCTCTCCGTCTGCATCGATTCATGGCCCTTTTATGGCCATTCGGGGGTGACTCTGAAGTCAGTACGGCATTAACCTGGGGTAGTTGAATGTGGTGTTGAACTGCCTCTTTTCCTGTTCCAGTGTGGGTTTGGTAAAACAACTGAGCAAATGCTAAATGCAGATTGGGCCTAAAGGAAACCCAGGGGCTTACCGGTCCTCCTCACCCACCAGTAGAAAACTCTTTCATCTGAATGCAGGCAACCAATAGCAGGCCCTGCCTTGCACTTTCTGAAAAGCTTGGAGGGCACAAAGGCCCCATGTTGGGGGACCGTGAGATAAAGCCTGTCCAAAGGTTTTCATTTCAACCTTGAACAGCTTAGCATACAGTGATTACAGCATTCCCGTTAAGTGTTCTATGGTTTTGCTATGAGACTTAGGCTGAATCTGCATTTGCATTTTTAAATCATTTTCGTGCTGCTGTGACGTCGTCTTTCTCTATGCTTGTTTGAATGTTGTTTGGAGAAGATTCTTTTAAAGCAGTGTGGCGGTGCAATGACAGTGGAGCTGCCCCAAAGGACGATAAACATATGTGGATGTGCAAAAGTATGCTAGCACTCTTGAGGTGTGAAAATGACACCAAATGTAGACAGCTTTTTTGAAGATGGAGTCAAAAGGCTGGGACACTGGTGGGAAAGACAAATGCAGATTCCGCCTTGCTGAACATGAGATTGAATGCAGGCTAAATTTTCCAATGGAACTTTCCTGCCTCGCCCCTCCCACTGCATGCCATAGATCTACACAAAATGCTAACCCTAAAGGATTGGAGACCCTGAAGAATGATGGGGGGGGGCGTGTCTTTCAGCAGCAAGGGGGAATCGGCAGAAATGGCCTGTTCATTCTGGATCCAGCTCATGGTCCCCAAATCTGGGATGGCTGACATGCCACGAAAATGGAAATATTTGGAATATTCACCGGCTGACCTTGCTTAGTTTCTCACTTGGTAGCTTGACTTTAAATGCAAATGGGAATTCCAGTGATTGTTTTTTTCTGCAGGAGCTTGTTTTCAACTTCACAATCCCTAGAAGATTCCTCTTGGGCAAATGCTTTTTAAATCGCGCCGTCAGCTCTTATTCACCTCTCAAGTTTGTTTCTGCATCCTGCTCAGATTCATGTTTAAATCAGCAATTCCCACCCACCCCTCCAAACTTTATGCCCTAAATGTTGCTGGCTTGTCAGCATCTCCCTTTCCCCCGGCTCATTTCTGATACCTCTAGGGCCTCAGCTTCAGCAAATCTGGATACAGGAGGGAATTTGAGCTGTCATCCTTAACTTTGCATAACAAACAGCAGCCTCCAAAATACCCTCTCTCTTCTACCCCCATGTCTTAAATCTATGCCTTGCATACTGTTCCTCCAGTTCAACTGTTTCCCCAGTTCTTTTGCCCCTGGCCTCTTCCAACGCTCCCTCTAAGCTGTGGAGTCTTGTGAGCAAAAATTCTACTTTGTGAGCTACCGGCATTAAAGTGGTGAGCGAGCGACTTAGTGCCTGTGCATACATCAGTTTGCTCCGGAGCCATCCTTCCTGAGCTGAGTCAAAGATGTGTGAGCTGGAGGCTAACAAACTGTGAGCTAGCTCACACTAACTCAGCTTAGAGGGAACACTGGACTCCCCCTCTGTGCCCCCGTTTCACCTCTAACCTGAAGTAGCCGAACCCACAGCCAGGGCTTGCTAGCTTCCCGTTCAGCGATCACATCAAAGTTGTTGGCATCAGTTTCCAGAACCTGTTTTCGACCCTCTCTGAGCCTTTCTGTTTACAGTCTTCTTTCTCCAGCTCCGGAGCTGCCCAAGTCCAACTTAGAGCAATTCAGAAGAATAAATACCAACCCGTTGCATAACGCTTCCTGTTGTTATATAACAGGAAGCTATCCACCCCCCCGGAAAATACTGTTCTCCACACACACCATAGAGTACATTTCTGGGAAATTCTGGGGTTTTAAAAGGTATCTTACCTGCTGAATTCATCCTAACAAGTGAAGTGTCCTACGGCCCCTTCCTCGTTTCCGTTTATCAACTTGCTCGGACGGCTGTTGTTGCAGAAGTGGAACCGTTTTGAGTCTCGTCCCTCTTCTGGGAGTTCCTCGGCTGTTCTGTAAACAAAGCAACAGTCGGGAGGGTAGAGTCCTGCTGCTCTAAAAGTACAAGCTTAAAAAAAAGAAGCAAGAACTATAAGCAGCTAAGCCTGCCCACCCCACCCCCAGTCTGAAAGGGCCGATGAACTGGTTGTTTTACTGCATTGCCACATTGCTTTTATTACGTTTGTTTCCGACTGAAGTTCATTGCCAAGGTCCAGATTGGAGGGAATGTTGGGGCAAAGTTACCTTGGCGGGCCCCTTGCTCTGCAGTAAGAGAGCCACGCAAGCTAAGAAACCTTCCAGGTTACCTTAGATCTGCTTGAGAGCCTGTTCCTGGTTGCACGCCCAGGATCCCTGCCAGTTTGCACCAAGGCGTGCACGCACAGACTTATGGTCCTGAACAATGCTCCCTCTAAGCTGTGGAGTCTTGTGAGAAGAAATTCTGCTTTGTGAGCTGCTGGCATTAAAGTTGTGAGTCAGCAATTTGGCTACGGCATAAATTAGTTTGCTCTGGAGCCCTCCTTCCCTGGGCTGAGACAAAAATGTGTGAGCTGGAATCTAAAAAACTGTGAGCTAGCAGGCCCGTAGCTAACCAGGGGCCCATGGGGCCCGGCCTCCCCATTATTTTAATGGCTCCCCTTCCCAATTCTCGGCTCCCCCTCCCTCCCCCCGGCCCCCTTCCCATCAGGGAGGGGGGAAGGAGCCCGGCCCCGTGCGGAGAGCCCCCGTGCGACCGTCTCCCTGGCGTTGGGCAAAATTCTGGGTGCGCCTCTCCAGCCAAGCCCCAAAGCGCTGCGCTCAGCTTTGCTCCCCGCTGCCAGGGCCGGCCCCAGCTTATTTTGCACCCTAGGCGAGGATCCCTTCTGGCACCCCCCCCCCGGCGCACGTGTAAACCGTCCGTGTTCCCCTCCAATAAAACATTTCAGCGTGTCTGGGCGCATGCACACGAAAAAGCGTACACCCAGAATTAAACTTGGTCGGTCTCAAGGGTGCCGCTGGGCTTGGATTGTGTTCTCCCCCCCCCTCCGCCCCATTTCCTAATAACAGAAGTTTTGAAATCATTCCTCTCGAAGGGTTAACAAGACATAGCTGCAGTCCTTGACTGGCATGCAGGGGGAGGGAGCGGGGGAAATTAGCTGTGGAAAGTCATTTCTTCCGGGTCCTGTCCTGTCCAAGCCAAGGCAGCTTCTATTTGATGCTTCCGAGGCTGGGAGGGAGCTGGTGAGTTCAAAGGGTGGGGGATGGAAAAAGAGGGCAATTTGGAGCGGGAGGGGGGGTGCAAGACCCAAGGCAGAGATAAAGGTGAAGAAGAAAGGCAGGCAGCTGCAGAACTGCGGGGAGGGGAGGGGAGAGAACCGATACCCCCCCTTCCCGATCACCTGCTTCCCCCTTTGCTCCTTCCTTGAAAATGGTTCCTGCAGTCTCTTCTTGCAGCTGGAAGGGGGGGCTGAATAGAAAAGCGATGGGATATTTATGGCAGGACATGAGCTTTTGTGAGTCACTGCTCACTTCTTCAGATATCACAAGGTTGATGGATTTGCATTCTACTAAATATGGTACTTTCCATGGAGATAAATCAAGGTGGGTAGTCCTGTTAGTCTGTCTGTAGCAGTAGAAGAGACCAAGAGTCCAGTAGCACCTTAAAGACCAACAACATTCATGTGGTAACAGCAGCTAAAATCTTATATGCAACGTTTTGAAACTTCCAAAAATACCCTATGAACAAGATCTAATAATGAAGAGCATGGAAAGTGCGGGGGGTGGAACAGAGGCATGGCAGGACCACACAAAAAAAACAAGAGTCCAGGAGCATCTTGAAGAGTTAACAAAAAATTGTGGCAGGACATGAGCTTTTGTGAGTCACCGCTCACTTCTTCAGATACCACAAGGTTGATGGATTTCCATTCTGCTAAATATGGTACTTTCCATGGAGATAGATCAAGGTGGGTAGTCCTGTTAGTCTGTCTGTAGCAGTAGAAGAGACCAAGAGTCCAGTAGCACCTTAAAGACGAACAAAATTCATGTGGTAACAGCAGCTAAAATCTTATATGCAACTTTTTGAAACTTCCAACAATACCCTCTGAACAAGACCTAATAATGAAGAGCATGGAAAAAGCGGGGGGTGGAACAGAGGCATGGCAGTACCACAGAAACATATAGTGGTGGGCAGTGTTTCCTCTAAGCTAAGTTAATGTGAGCTAGCTCACAGTTTTTTAACCTCCAGCTCGCAGATTTTTGTCTTAGCTCAGGAAGGAGGGCTCCAGAGCAAACTAATTTATGCAGCAGCCAAATTGCTCTCTCACAACTTTAATGGCAGTAGCTCACAAAGTAGAAGTTTTGCTCACAAAACTCCACAGCTTAGAGGGAGCATTAGTCGTGGGCCCCCTGAGAAAAACATGGGCCCCCTGAGCAAAAAGTTGTTAGCTTGACAAGGTAATCTACCCTCGTGCCTCCCAGAGAGTCAAAAGAGAAGGCAAAGTGACAAGGGTTGCTTCTGCATCATCATCGTTTTGAAAATGTTTTTTAAAAGTAAAGGTAAAGGTTTCCCTTGCTTGAAAGCAAAGTCGAATCCAACTCTAGGGGGCGGTGCTTACTTCCATTTCCAAGCCAGAGAGTCAGCACTGTCCGAGGACGTTTCTGTGGTCCTGTGGCCGGCATGGCTTGACGCCAAAGCGCACGGAACGCTGGTACCTTCCCCACCACAGCAGAACCCATTTATCTACTTGCAATTTCTTGCTTTCGAACTGATAGGTTAGCAGGAGCTGGGGCCAGGGACCGGAACCCTAGGGTCACATGGCACTACGGTACTGAACTTCCGAGCTATCAACCTTCCAGTCCGCAGCTTCAGCATCTTAACTGCTGAGCCACCGTGACCCCTACCTGAAAATGTTAGGGCAATGTAAAAGATATTTGTTGTTCAGTCGCACAGTCGAGTCCGACTTTTCACGACCCCATGGACCAGATCACGCCCGGCCTTCCTGTCTTCCGCCGTCCTCTAAAGTTGGCTCAATTTCATGTTCGTTGCATCGATCACACTGTCTAACCATCTCATCCTTTGCTGTCCCCATCTTCTTTGACCTTCAATCTTTCCCAGCATCAGGGTCTTCTCCAGTGAGGGCTCCCTTCTCATTGGGTGGCCAAAGGATTTGAGCTTCAGTTTCATTATCTGGCCTTGCAGGGAACAGTCAGGGTTGATTTCTTTTAGGATTGACTGATTTGTTCTTCTTGCAGTCCACGGGACTCTCAAGAGTCTTCTCCAGCACCATAGTTCAAAAGAATCTATTCTTCGGCGCTCGGCCTTCCTTATAGTCCAACTCTCGCAGCCATACATGACTACTGGGAATGCCATTGCTTTGACCATGCGGACTTTTGTTGGCAGGGTGATGTCTCTACTTTTTATCATGCTGTTTAGGTTCGCCATAGCTTTCCTCCCAAGGAGCAGGCATCTTTTAATTTCATGGCTGCAGTCACAGTCTGCGGTGATCTGGGATCCAGGAACGTGAAGTCTGTCACTACTTCCACAACTTCCCCTTCTATTTGCCAAGGAGTGATGGGGCCGGATGCCATGATCTTAGTTTTTTTGATGTTGAGCTTCAAGATTTAGGCGGGTAAAATAAGATCTGCATTAACGGGGGATAAGAAGTGTTTGAATGACTCCTGCAAGACGTGGGTAGGATATTTATGCTCAAGTGATTTGTGTCATGTTACCCTCGCATCTGAATATGCCGTATGGTTGCTGGGTCTCCCCTTGCCACTAGCAGGGGGAGGGGTGCTAGGGTTGCCGGCTCCAGGCTGGGAAACTCCAGGAGATTTGGGGGTGGAGGATAGGGAGGACAGGGACCTCATTGGGGTACGATGCCACAGAGTCCACCCTCCAAAGCATCCATTTTCTCCAGGGGAACTGATCTCTGAAGTCTGGAGATGAGCTGTAATTTCAGGTGGTCCCCAGGCCGCACCTGGAGGCTGGCATCCCTAGGTGCCACTGTCCCACCACCCAATGGAGGAGAGACCAAGATAGACCCCCATGCCATCTATCTGCTGCAACTAAAACAGGAACAATGACTGCTGAGTGCTTCCGGTTGCCCTGGCATGGGGCTTCCAAGTTCTCTTGTTCTAGCTGAGCTCCTATACCATTTCAACCAGTGATATGATTAGCAAAGTTGAACCTCTCATAGGCAGTGTTGGCATGTTCAACAGATGCTGGATAATGCACCTTTGAATCCACTTCCAGTGCACTTTGCAACTGGCTTTTACTGTGTGGAATGGCAAAAAGAAGAAGAAGAGGAGGAGGAGGAGGAGATTGGATTTATACCCCACCCTTCACTACCCAGAGGTGTCTCAGAGCGGCTTACCTCTTTTTCAAGAACAGCTCTTATCAGAGCTACGGCTTGCCCAAGGCCATCCAGCCAGGTGCAAGTGGAGGAGTGGGCAGGCCCATAGCTAGGACCTTTCTAGTGGGAAGCCCTGGGGAAAGTGGGGGAGGCGGAGTGTGTGCGTGCGTGCGCAAAGCGCGCGCACACTGCACACATCACCCGGAAGTGACGTAATGACGCCGGGCACGCTGGGCCCGCCCCCAGCGTGCCCCGCGTTGGCAATAACGCTACGAGCCTGCTTAAAAGTAGCCGAGGCTAGGAAACGCATCCTTGTCAGCCGACAGTGAGTTAGCCTCCGTTACTATTGGCCTCCTCCCGGCCCGATCAAGATCTCCCCAAGCTCCCCTGAAAGAGAGCCGCCTTGCAAGCCCTGCGGACCCGAGGCAGACCCCCCCACCGCCAAAGCAGGCCCCTCCGCAGAGAGCTGGTTCCACAGGAGGGGGGCGAGCAAAGGGGAAACATACAGCAGAAAGTTACACGTTGGAAGCATTGAAACACACACACCCTCCCCCCGACAGGCTGCAGCAGAACGCCTGTCTTCCAAGCCTGACATTACTTACTGGAGAGGCAGCCTTTTCCCAGCCTGGCTGCCCACAGCTCCAGCCCCGTCCAGCTCACTTTCCCTCTCCCCTCCCCCTCGGTCCGCCTCTCTAGCAAACAACGAGGCTGCTTTTAACCCTTTCAGTGTTGCTGCGAATGGGGGGGGAAATGCTTCCTGCCCTTCCCATGAAACTTACCCGACTGGACTGGACTTCAGCCAGGCTGCGGTCAGCGGCACGCTAGAACGCAGCTCAGGGTGGGGACATGTCCACCTGCAGACAAGGACTGGAGGGAAGAAATGAAGGGAGCTGGGACCCACCCGCGCGCTTCCCCGCCTCTGCCGTGCAACTGCTCCGCGGACAGCGCTCGCCCGGCTCTCGGAGGGGCTCGCTCGGGCGCC